ATTCGTGTAAATCTCTTATGAATCCTTAGACGATACTTTTAAAATGTTTAATTTTCTATTTTCTCCTAGTTTTACATATATTGCATGTCAACTATAACTTAGAAACGTTGGAATGACTACGCATGAAAGTTAATTATTAATGCTGGATTAAATTTCAGACTATCCTTCTATTTGAAAGTGGTAAAACTTGGGTTACGGTTACGGGGGGACATTATGTGTTAATTAATATTTTAATAATTTATTTGAGATTCATTTGCGCTTTTGAAAACAATTTGGGACTATGATTGCAATTAGTTTTTTTATTTATTTTATTTTATTTTATTTAAAGAGAGAGGTATATTTGTCATTTCACAAATTTCAATTGAGAAAATTGATGAAAATGACATTTTGCGCAATAAAATGTGGAAATAATGGTGAAAATGTAAAAAAATGAAAGGTAATGACGTTTTCCATAGTAAGAGTGAAAGGTGGGGGACGTTACGTGCTCATTACCCATTCGTAAAATACCGAGATATTTAACTTAATAATTTGTTAATTCTGGTATGGTTACCAATAATAAACGAAATTGATAAAATCTCAAGGTTTTGTTTTTAATTTAAAAAAAGAAGCCTAAATGAACAGTATTGCAACAACATGTTTAAAGCTAATCAAAGTACCCTAATTAAAATTACAATCCTAGACCTAAGCTTTCAATAAAATATAAATTAATTAAGTTCTATGTATAAGATGAAACATATAATTAAATAAAACATTGCACTTAAATAAATAAAGTAGTAAACGCAGTTAAGACTTGTAGCTCATCAATACGTTTCAAAAGAGTCCTCTAATAATAATGACAGCATTTAGTAAAATTTACTATGTAGGAAAACGCAAATGTGGCGTGAATTGCAGCTCCAATAGGAAGTACATCCTCATCAATAGTATGGTAAGGATTGTGGGGAGGATAAAAAGATCCAGCCTCCTCATTTCTTGTTCCCAGCAGAAGATATGATCCGGCTACCTTTTCTAAGTACACTGCAAAATCTTCACTCGCCATGAAAGGAGGAGCTAATTCAGTGTTCCCTTCGCCTACAACCAAACTCGAGATTTTTTGTACATGTTCGTATACTCTCTCGTCATTTATCGTCGGGGGGAGATTAGGATGTCCGTCTCCATCAAATTCAATCTCAGCCGAGCACCGGTGTACTGCTGATTGCCCTTTTATAACCTATCAAGTGCAAGAGAAATCCCAAAGATATTAGCGCTAGTCATTATTACTGTTAAGTTTGACCCAAATTCGATTGAGTATTTTTGGATTTGTTGGAATGGACTTTGAAGAGATCAAAATATGAACTAAGAAGGAAAAGACACCGCATTGCCGTTAGATTACTGCTCGAGCGGCGGTACGGAATTTTCAGCTAAGAGTTACCACCCACCTGGGCACACCTGCCACGAGCCGGGCGCTTGTCCGGCCACAAATTGTTTTCTTTATTTTACGTGATTTTTGATCTTTAGGACTATTATTAGAGTTTGACATGTATCGCTATATATAATTGGTTCTTCTTCATAGTTAGAATAAGTTAAACTTTATAAGAATTGTGATAAACACAATCTTTGTAATTCTTTCTTCTTTATAATAAATTCTCAAATCCTCTACCAATTTCTTGTATTCTTCTTGTGTTATGATTGTTACTTCATATTGTGCCATCTCGCTTCTTCTATTCCTAACAAGTGGTATCAACATACATAATTCTTGTTCAGATTCTAACAATTACGATTGATTTTTAAGTATATGCCGTGAAAAAGACAATAGTTACCTCTTCTATTCTTTTTCTTAGTGCGTAAAAGTTCTTTCTGCTGATGGCTCTAAAAGTACCGACGATTGTAGCAGACTCTGGAATGATATTAAATGAATTCCCCCCTTGCATGATTGTTACAGAAACCACCTGAAATGTCCGATAATATATGCCAGGAAATCCAGAAGTAAATCTTACTCTTCAGATAGTCAAGACAGTAATAGAAGAAAAAATAAAATTAACATCTTATTTTATGTACTGTCCAATCCTCCTGAAATACTGCATATGAAAATATGTAATAAAGTACCTGAGAATCCAAAGGGTCGGTTTCCCTAGAAACAATGTTCTGTAAGCTAATTATAGAAGTTGAAGCAGCCAAAATGGGGTCAATGGATTCTTGTGGAAAAGCTGCATGTGCCCCCTTCCCCCGGATTATGGCTTTGAAGCTTCCACATCCGGCCAGGAAAGGTCCCGGACGTGAAGCAACTGTACCACTGGGGTAACTATTGAACATGTGCAATCCAAGGATTGCACCGACATTATCAAGTACTCCTTCTCGTATCATTTCCTTTGCACCTTCACCATTTTCCTCAGCTGGTTGAAATATTAGATTAACAGTTCCCTACAATGAATGTATTAATGTTTTAGAAATCTAGGAATCCAATGAGTTTGTCATACACTAATATGTAGGATGCCATGCCTATGTTTCTCTACAATGTCACATGTACTTTGTTTTTCTTTGTTAATACGATTATGCTACTTTGCCAGAAAGAATTGACAAATGCTCTAGCACGAAAAATCTAAAAATATGTGAAATTTAAGACATGGCATGTGGCTTGTTGGAACCCATGTCTTGGAGTAACCATATCATAGAGTGTCTAACAAGTATCGGTGTGCAACACGACATTATATCTTTATTTTTAAAGTTTCTAATATAGGATACGGCACATGTGACGTCGAACAACTATATGAGGAATATCCTTAAAATATCACTCTAGCACGAAAAATCTAAAAATATATGAAATTTAAGACAGGGCATCTGGCTTGTTGGACCCATGTCTTGGAGTAACCATATCATAGTGTGTCTAAGAAGTATCGGTGTGCAACACAACATAATAGAGTATATGTCGGATACGAACACGTTACTCTATCAAAAGTGTCCGTGCAAAATAAGTAGGAGTCAGTCTCAAACCCATCATCTAGTGGTTAAACGAGATCAGTTATTTACCTGCAAATGATTTCTGAGTTGTTGCAGTATTCTTGCAGCACCTAAAAGCATAGCTGTGTGCGCATCATGTGCACAGGCATGCATTTTGCCATTCACCTGACTTTTGTGCTCCCATTCCCTCATTTCCTACAGGGGATAATAGATATTTACCAAACATTAATTTTTCTGGTGATTTTAGTTTAATTTTTTTTTTTTGTAAAATAGTATTATAAATTCATTAATACGATGTAAGTACTGGTAAGCTGTTAACATGGGGTAGAAAAAACTTTAAACTCGACGATCTTTTTCGATTAGTCAGTTCAATTTATTGCTAAATATATGTTCTAAAAAAGAATTTGCCATGCAACTGACCTGAATAGGCAGAGCATCCATATCTGCTCTTAGAGCAACAAAGGGAGGAGAACCAGAGCCAATGGTTCCAACTACACCTGTCCGTGCCACTGGCCACCGGTATTTAACTCCCATTCGATCAAGCTCGTGCCTTATCAGAGAGCTCGTTGAAAATTCTTCGAAAGCAAGTTCAGGGTTCTCATGAATTTTCCTTCGTATCGTCTTCATCCATTTCACAGTCTCCGGCTCATTCGCCAACCTTATTACATGCTCTGCCAATGAAGAATTATGTTCTTGCAGAAATGGATTTAAGCAGCATTCATGAAAACTAAGTTGCAAACAAGAGAAAGACACAACTGTAAATAGTATCAGGATACTAAATTGGAGAATTTCCATGTTTTTGTTGAAAAAAATGTCAAGAAATACTTGTATGATGTCTGTCTAATTCAAATGGAAATTTATTCGTTTAATAGTACATGTGGTCCTATATACATTATGGAGACAGAAAGTTGAGGAGGCTAAGATTTCACATCAAATACTGAAATCATATTTGAATCATCAGAAAAACATGTATTACTACTGGCATATTGACTGGTCAATTCCACATTTTTGTTTTAATTAAAACTTTTTTTATTATCTATATGCAGTAATTATAGTATTCTACATACTCGACCATGTAAGTCACTATCATTTTTTATCTAAGACGTGACAGGTAAACAATTTTTGAAAAAGTATCGTATTATCTACAAGTTTTGACACTATGGTTATTTATTTATAAATTTCACTTATCAAACATTCTACAAAATAACCTATTCTGTGCATGTTAAGAATATTAGATAATTTAAAAAATTCTCAAAGGATATTTTTATTAATGTCAATACTTAACCAGAATATTAAATATCTATTCATCATGACCTACACGACTTCATAGTCTAGCCACAATTTTATGTGAACCTGATAGATTTTGTACAACCTTGGGCCCTTGATTGGAAAAAAATATCTAAGGGGTTGTTTGAGCTCCATTATTTTTTAATAATTTATTTTGAAATAATAGATTGATAGAAATTATGTGGTTAAAAAGGAAGAATTTTTTAAAAAATTTGCGTGTAATATTATTTTAATAAAGAATGTGTGGTTGAAAAGAAAAAAAAAGAAAATTATATTTTGAAAAAATGGAAATCAAACATCCCATAAATATTCATAAAAAATCTTCGAGGAATTTAAAGTCGATATTTGAAGTACTTTTTTTTTTTTTTTTNTTTTTATTTTTATTACTTTTTTTTTTTTTTTTTTTGGAATTGAATGATTGTAAAACAAAATATTTTCTTTCTCAAATCCTTCTAGTGAGATTCAAACTTGCAACTATTTAGCATGACCAAAAACTTCGGCTATTTATTTAATTGATCTTAATTATATATATTTGTAGAGCTAATTGTTTACAACAAGTTACAAAGCAGTAATTTAGAAATAGATTTAGAACTCAATACTGTAAATTTTCCACAAAACAAATAAATAAGAACTACTAATTCTGCCGATTATCAAGCAAGTTACGTGCACCATAAAATAAAGAAGTTAAAAGGTTAGACCCTGAGAATGCAAATAAATTGGCTCACTTAGACATCGTCACATTGACAACCACAACCGGTCTGTAATATTTTACAAGTGTAGTATATACTGTAGAGGAAATTACACTACATGTCAATTCTTGACTTTGCATTTTCAAAAATGTTACTTTTTCAAAGTCTTTGCAAGATTGTCATTTTTGAACATTTTTGTCTCTCTAAAAAATTTAAATACCCTACACGTCCTTAAGTTGACAACATAAAAATGTCGCACAAAAAGTGGAAAAAAAATCTAACAACTGATCACCTCAAAATTAAACTTGAAAATTTTGGAAAAAAATTTGAAAAACCTAAAGCGAAACCATGATTCTATTGATATGGCTTTGTTTAATCAAGACCCAAAAAATGGCCCAAGTTCATTAAAATATACAAGGACTATTTGGTAAATAAATCTGAACTTGGCCTATTTCATCTTCATTCCAGAGAAAGACCCTAGAACCACCGGTTACTTTGGATCTCTATAGACTTCCCGATAAGCGGCTAAGCCCGTCCACGCCTTCCGCTACTTCCCTCCGCCGAACACATTCATACTGAAAGACGGGGACAGATGGGGAGGTGGACATGGGGGTCATGTGACTCCCCAACTTTTGGGAAAGATTTTATATATTTTTATTTTTATTGTTTTGACTTCTCCTAGTTCTCCTCTCTCTCTCTCTGCGTATTAGTCTATCAGTGAACTTTTTCTTTTCTTGATTTTATTCTTTTGGTCAAGAGCTTGAGATGGGTCGTTGAGCGAACCCTTTTAATGATTTGATCCATGCATTATGATGAACATTTTTATTTTTCATGATAATAAATTTCACATTTTTTTTTATTGTCTTTAATTTTGCAGAATAGTGTTTGTCATCTCTTTCCCCTCCTATACGAATCTAATTTTAAATGTGGGTTCCAGTTTGGGCCATGAAAAATAATATTATAGTGATTTTTATTCTTCATTTTATTAATTTTTAATTATCCTGCAAAAGCAAAGTGTAACGACCCAAATTCTATTATAAAATTTAATATGAATCGATACCAAAATTTTTTCTTTAACATTTAACATTATAATTAAATAAAAAAAATGATATGGACAAAATTGAGAAGAAAATAAATCGCCAAGATATAATTCAACAAGTTTCTATTTAAAACCACGGAAGCTGCCATTTGCACAATATTGCACAAGTTATAATATGTAAATCTAACCATAGTTCGGACTTAATGCCAAATCCATTGGCAAATACTTTCCTCAGAAAGGACCAAATATCATTGTTTTCGTATTTCGATGTGAAATAATGGAAAATGAGAAAAGAGAATATATGGTTAAATGGATAAAATGTCTTACGGTGTACTTAAACATAGGGGTGGGCAAAATCCGACTGAACCTGCCCAAACCGAACCAACTGGACTGGTTTGGGTTAGTTTTGTTTGTTGTTTTAACATGGGGTTAGGTGGGTTGGTTGTGTATATGAGTTGGGTTGGGTTGAGTTATGGATTAACTCATAAAAATCGAATAAACCCGTCCAACCCAGCCCGACTATATTTATGAACTTTACAAGTGTTATGATGTTGTTTGGAAACTCTTAAAATAATATTGTAAAATTTGGATAGAATACATTTTACGAAAAATAGTATAAGCAAATACACATTCAACACAAAAATATTTTAATTGTCAAAAATATTTCTTAACTTAATATAATTTAATATCAATCTGTCCATGTAACATTTCCAGGCATGAAGTGCCAAAATAATTCAGATTTTTTTGTTCATTGCAACTATGGAGACCAAATATTATATAAGTCATGAGTCAATTATAAATCTATGCAACCCAACCCGCCTACTTTAATCTTTGTTGACAAGTGGTCCCAACTCTACCAACCCAACCTAACCCGATCGATACTTGATTGGGTAAGGTTGGGTTTCAACCTTTACACACGTTGGGTTGGGTTAAGTTATGATTAAACCGATCATGTTGGGTTGGATTTGGGTTGAGACAAAAATCGACCCGACCCGACCCGACCCAACTCAACCCGTGCCCACCCCTACTTAAACATTTGAAAAAAAAGCACTAATTAACTTAATAGGAAATAGAAAATTATACTTTAACAAACATGACTACATAATTGAACATAATTATCCATGGCAATCAAATTAAATAAATAAAATTACGTACTTAAATTTCAAATCTTAACCTCAAGGACCGAGGCACNTATCATATCTTTAGAAATCAGTAAGAGCTCATAATATATCATATCTTTGGTACTAGATGGACATTTCATATCATATCATAACTTTCATTAGCATAATATTTATCAACATGAAAAATAAATTAAACGGGACAAACACTTGCACCTCGTAATCCTACATTGATCAATAAAAAGAATTGTTGGGAGAAAAGCAAGAAGTCTCAAAATCTTTATTTTCTGATTGTGGTGTTGCTGCCACCGTAACAAGTATCTATGTTTCTATTTTATTTATTTATTTGTTTGTTTTGATTTGAAATTTGATAGGGATAGAACTCCATGTGTAGATTGATTGGAGAAAAGTAATCTTTGATTGTATAAAATAATGGAGTTGAGACTTTTTAGGAGGAAAACACGACACGAAATAATGAGATTGAGATTTTTAGGGAAAAAACACCACATTTCCCCTTTTCAACTCTAAGTACCGTAAGTGTGGGTACTGTTAAAATTCCTTGTTGAAATAATTGAAAAATTCTAATTTAACTGCATGTCAAGATAAATTCAGTTTGAAATGCTATTGAAGTATCATTCAAGTTAAAATTCTATTTGAAAACCCTATTGAGAGTTGAAATTTGTATTGGATTTGAAAATATTGAAATTATGGATCGAGAAGAAAAGTCGTCACATTTTCATTAGTCTACCGCTAGCTAGCCGTTCGAGCAACATCTGCAGGTTTTCTCTCAACACTTGGTCACTTGAGCTACGAACCTGTCGCTATCTTATCGCTCGAGCGACATGATTATCTGGACATGCCCTTTTTACGTTTTAACACGTTTTTCACATTCTACTTTAACCATAACTCATCTATTAGGGTTTGGACGTTTCCTACATATTTCTTATAAATATTAGGCTCTTCTATATAATTTTATAGTGTGAAAAAAGTGATTATTAGCTTTTAGGATCATTGTAATATTTCTTCATCTTCTTTATTTGTGGTAAAATAAAATCTCCTAATTCCTCTCCTATATTTTCTTGTCTTCTTTTACTTGTGATCAAATACTTCATTATTGTGCGATTAACTTCTACATCTCAATCCGGTGGTTGGTTTCATATCAAGTAGTATCGAGCAATATGTATTCCTTGAATTCGCAACAATTGATATCAGAGATTCTGTGCATAATTAACACAACAAATGGTATTAGAGCGATTCTAGCATCTTGTTTATTTTATAACAAGTGGTATCAGAGCCTATGTTCAACAGTTCCGTAGAGCACAATGTTTGATTTGTTCGAGGTTTTTGTTCTTAAGATGCGTGCAGTACTCGTAAAATAGGATTTGGATGATGCGTTGTTGGGAATTGACAAGATACCCGCAACTTTGATCGTGATGGAGAAATTACGAAAGGATAAGAAGGCAGTTTCTGACATTCATCTTTATCTATCGAATACTATTCTTAGGACGGTTTGAAAAAAGGTTCAGCAGCTGCTTTATAGTTGAAGTTGGAGTAATTGTGCATGACTAAAAGTCTAACAAGCAAGTTACATCTCATGCAGCGTTTATACTCTCATCGAATGACAGAAGGAGGATCATTGGAAGATCACCTGACTGCATTTTA